AATTATAATTCTGAAATTCCGGGTTAGAAACATATTCTTATATTATTTCTTTCTTTTTAATATTTGCTACCGAAGAGATGTGAATTGAGTTGCTTAGGAGCTTTTGTTGCTAACGATATACTATTAGAAGAAATCAATACACCAACTTAATCCTTGAACCTATTGAAATATTAACTATTATTCTCGAGAAAACGTTTCAAGTATGCTCTTGTGATATTAGATGTTAAGCCGTGCTGCTGCTCTAAGCCGCTAAGGCCACGTTTACTCAGAAGCGGAGCTTTTAGCGGAGATTGCAGCGGAGGATTTAAGCGGTGTGCGGAACAGAGGGTAGACCCGGGCCTGTAGAAAAAATGCATTCATTTAATAGTTTGTCTACTGACACTGTTTTAATATAATTAAATTCAACGTTCTTGACATTTTTGAATGTTTATTACTAAAATAAATAACTAAGATTTCACTCCACGAAATTTAGGAGCATGCAAAAAATAGTTTAAATTAGTTTTTGTCTGTCACAGAAAAACTTGATCGCGCGCGTCCCTGTTTCAAAAACCGGGATAAAAACTTAAGTCCTTTCCCGGGACTCAAACTACACTCGACATCAAATAAATCGCACCTCCCGCGACAAGCATTTTCAAACGTATGCATCCCCACTTCCCACCAATATTGGCACCATTTAAAAGCTTAGTTCTAACCTTCATTTCATTAAAGGAAAGGTTTTTACCCCAAAAATGTGTCTTTAGAAGGATCCAGAGTCCCTTCTTCAAAAAATAGGTAGTTACGCTAGAGCCAACTTTTATGGCTATAAAACTGTTAAGTTGGGATTAATCGCTATCCATAGAGGACACGTGAGATTATTATTTGGTTTTATAACCATAAAATTACTTTCGCATTTATAATGTTAATAGAGAGGAAAATTCTATAAAATAAAAGACCTGCTATAAAGACATTGTTTACTTCATTACACAGGGTATTGTAATGAAGTAAACAATGTCTTTATAGCAGGTCTTATATTCTTCGGTCCATAAGCTGCGGTCTAAGCCTCAATGCGGGACAACTTGAGACGAGCTTTAATGAGCGGAAGAGCCTTGAGTGGTTAACAAACTAGAATATTCTGCAGTAAGTTATTGTGACTACCTTTAATAAATAATACTACTTATTTTTTTAGGTGTCTATTTATACGAAATCGTGATGAAGTATAATAATGACCCTACTGCCTTTAAATGTAGATACTTACCTACTTGACTAAAACTCATCAGTTTTAATAAAGTACCTACTTACATTACATCATGATATAGCTAAATTATTAATCTGAAGTACATAGTTACAAGTTTAAGATTATTTTTTTATTCAAAATCTATGCGGCACGATATGACCTTTGACGTCATTATATTTTTCCTTATTTTCTTAGTTTTTTTTAAATGTAATTTTATTTATTTTACGTCTTTGCCAAGAGTGTGTGTGTACCATGCTTTGGGAAAACTACAAAATTTTCCGAATATGATAACAAGAACAATGGCCATAGAAAGACTAATGTGAGAGAGCTATGGGATTTTTTCCAATGCCATTATTTTGCTTTTAAACTTGATTTAATGAACCCGCCATCGGTAATTGAAAACGTGCCGTTAGCAAAATAAAGACTTAGGCTGGGTTGCACCATCTTACTTTAACTTTGACAAACGTCAAAAATCTGTCAAAATCCATACAAAAAGCACCGGTTATCGTCAAAGTTACGGTCAAAGTTAGGTGGTGCAACTCAGCCTTAAATACTGGATTTTAATTATCTTAATAGAAAATATGCTTAACTTTGAAATAAATCAGCAATTGATACAAAGTTGGGAGTGCAGGCCATATCCCTTGTTTGCCTCTGGTAAATTAGAAAGGTTCTACTAGGAAGACTAAAATGATCGATGATGATAATGACCTCAGATCATAGATCTATGATCTGAGATAATGACGATAATAATGATTATCTCAATATTCACCAAATAAACTTATGACACATGTCTGAAAATCATGAGCTATAATTTGAATACAATGTAGGTACTCCAACATTCAAGGACTTTTGTGTCGGAGCGGAAAAATATTACTGACAAACATTAACACAATATATTATGTTACATAGGTTACACTTCGAACATAATAAAAGGAATAAATCATATAATGGTAGAATATATTACAGGTATCAAGACATTAATATAATTCTACGTTCAATATCGCTATTCTTTATTTGCTTAGACTGATAAAAAATTTAAATACACATAACACCTCAATTTAATGACGAAAGAAAAGTTTTTATTAACTTTTTAAATCTTACTTAAACTCTAGCTAATATTTGTCTCAAAGAGCTGACAAAGTAAAAACCTTTATAATAATGATATTTGTTGCTGATTGTACTACTTAATCAATAACACTGAAATATCTCAGATGGAATATTTACGCAAAATATCTGAATTCAATGCCTCTATTTCTATTTTATTTAATCAAACCTGAAGATTTGTTTATTTACGAGTAGTTCAAATAATAATCCATCGTTAAATCTAATATGAAAAGACATTTCAGTACAATCTCAGTCTTTATTAGATTATCTTTATTTGAAAGAAAGAAAGAAAAAATGTTTATTCAGTATCATCGACAATACACTTACAACAATACCTAAAATTATTTAATGGGTAGGTAATTACACTGATACTGAAAAGGCATCAGTGCAAATGCTGAGTGCAGCATGGTGTCGTAGCATTTATTGGTATGACACTAATATTGGATTTTAAGCTTGTTGGTTTTATGATTTGGCTTCGTGTATTCGAAAATTTAAGAAAACACCGTATGTTTTGATTCCCACTGAACCTTTTCACAGAGAAAACGTTTTCACAGTAATCCAATACGCGATAACTCATCGCGTTGCCTCATAAAGTGCCACAAACAATGAGTTTACACCTCCGCCGTATTGGAAAACGCGACACGAAGCCATTTCTAGGGAAATGGGGAGATGGGGAAGTGGGGAGATGACAGCCACGAGTGAACAATGGGGAATCGACGCGTGGCTCGTGATAGTTTCGCGATTGTCTTCTTTACCGCATGGTGAAGTGGTGCCGAAGGTCATCTTGCTATTCACATCATTGGCAAGAGCGTACATTGGCAAGAGAGTAAAGCATGATAGATTGATCTTTAGTTCTTTAGTGTGGATAATTTTAAAAATTTCTTAAGATTTAAAAAATATTCTTTCATCGATGGGTAAATTTCCTTCCGTTGCGACGATCTTCTGTGAACAATTTGACAATCCGCTCCGTTACAGCCATGTAATCTTCTAATCTAAGAAAAGTATTTCGATACTTAAAAAATATATAAGTAAAATTATTTTACCGTCTAATGAAGGTTTTATTTGTTTACATTATTAATTAATCATTGCCTAGATTTATTGGGACAGAATAGGTACGTATATTTCCTATTCTGTACCTACCTATCCACAAGTATAACCCTTACTGTACTGTACTGTATTGTACAGGGTGGAAACGATAAGTGATCTCATTCGATTATTTCTAAACTATACAAGATATCGAAAAACTGGTTACTGATCCTGAAAGTGCTTCACGAGCTCTATCCAACGGTACCAATAATAGGTTACAGAATTAACTGGATCTATCCGAAAATTAAATGTTTTCAGCCTCCATACTAAATGTATGCCAGCCAAACAATTTATTAGAAATATTTTTTTTAAATTAAATAATAAACACTTAAAATGAACTCGTTAATTGCATTCTTATTTTTAAAATTATTTATGGAAAACATTGGTTTTAGGCTTTACTTGCTATAATATTATCAAGACATGAGTGCCATGACAGTGGCTATACTAAATGTATGGAAGCTGGAAACATTCAATTTTCGGATGGATTCAGTTTATTTTGTAACCTAGTAATGGTATCGTTGGATAGAGCTCGTGAAGCACTTTCAGGATCAGTAACCAGTTTTTGAATATCTTGTATAGTTTTTAATATTATGTGGTTTTATTAAATGTATGGAAGCTGGAAACATTGAATTTTCGGATAGATCCAGTTTATTATGTAACTTATGATTGGTACCGTTTGAAAGAGCTTGTGAAGCACTTTCAGAATCAGTAATCAGTGTTTCGATATCTTGTATAGTTTAGAAATAATCGAGTGAGATCACTTAACGTTTCCACCCTGTATAGGATCTCAAATTGTCTGAATCCACATACTTAAAGTCGTAGAACAAGTCAAGGTTATAAAAAACTTGATACCGGTAGTTAGGTGAAAATCACTCACCTGTAATTAATTTTATCTTATGAAGTTTTCCAAGAACTGGGACAACCTTTCTTTGAACTACGACAAGGTATGTTAGCGTTGTCCCATTTCATTTACGTTAAATTTGAGTAAGAATATTTAGGCACGTGTATTCTGAAGGTCACTTTGATACTGATACTTTTTGCTATGGAAAAGTATAATAGTATTCACGACATGTGACAACGGTTGTCTAAAAGGACGCATCAAACTAAGCATGACTGAAATGGCTACTTTTGAAGAGAAGTTCTACATTTCAATACTAGGTTTTGTCCGTGACTTCGTTTGCGTTAAACTATGGAAACTGTTTTGTCCCCTCAGGAGAGTGTATTTTGGAAAATCCTTTCTTAGCGGATGCCTTCATCATAATCGCAATCGTCATAAGCGCAATCCGTAATGGTTTGAACTGTGTGTTTATAAATCAGCATTATTTTATCTGCATTACAATAAAATTATCATTATCATCATATCAGCCATAGGACGTCCACTGCTGAACATAGGCCTCCCCCAATGATTACCACAATGGCCGGTTGGTGGCGGCCTGTAACCAGCGCCTTCCTGCTACCTTTATGAGGTCTTCGGTACAATTAAATAATCCCAATTATTAGCAGCGGTACCTTCAGGCAACTCGAAACGTAATAACCACATAACAACGTCTAATTTTCTTTGGCCAATTAAGTAAAACTCAATTAATTCTTGTTCCAGGACGCGGAAACTGTGGAGAGACTGAACGAGAGCGGAGAGTTGAGGAAAATGCTGAAGCCCTACAAGGTAACTATTTGTTTTAACCTTTAATTTCAGAGCTTTTCAGGGCGTTTCAGGGTGTCTGGGAAAAGGAAAAACTGGAGGAAAATTTGGTATTATTGGAATTCAGACTAAAAAATATTGGCAATGGTGATAATTACTTATTAACAAAAAGTTACAGGTAAGGGTTGCACAGTAGTATAAAATAGCACATGATGTCGTGCCTTAAGTGCCCGAGCAACTGCACGCAGGAGGATTTAATGAATGCTGCTGACTGCGCCGCTCTCACAGCGGAGTTTTGGGCTGACACTATGTAGGTTTGTTGTCGACACGATAAGAAGAAGTACCTAGTTTAGAATGTAATTTTCACAATAAACGTCGCTTTAAAATGGTGTTCAACGCGCGTGTAACTTTTATTAATTAGTAAGGGGTTTACAGTCTATTCAAGAATTTTATTGTTGTGGATGTTACAATTTTCGTTTTAAATATTGTCATATTTGAATGCTTAAAAAGCGCTCACAGCTATCCATTTGTTTTATAATATGACCCCAATTCGAAGCCTAAACAATATGTAGTAAAGTAAAGAGATTGGGTAAAACGTCGTTCTATGTAAACCCATGATGACATCACTTAGCAACAAATTGTGTGGTCAATCGAACAAATAATTATCTGCGGGGTTACTCCGAAAAACGTTATCGGAACTTTCGAGGGTTGCCATCTCTTTCGCCCAAAGCGAGGTGCCAGCATGAGGGACGGTGACAGATAGACCTGAAGCTAGGTGAATACGTTTCGGAGTAGACCTTCTGGTCAGGGACCGATCGCCGCTAGATCAATCACTTTGCGGAGTGTACACAGAGGCGGGCCTAAAGATTTCGGTTGGCAACGAAAGTGGTAGCATCTATACTATCTATACTAATTTATAAAGATGAAGAGTTTGTTTTTGTTTGATTGAACGCGCTATTCTCAGGAACTACTGGACCGATTTAAAAAAAAATTGCGTTTGATAGCCCATTTATCGAGGAAGGCTTTAGGCTTATGATATCACCCTACAGCCAATAGGGGAGGAGCAGTAAAGAAAAATGTTGCAAAAACAGGAAATATATTTTTTATTACCACAATGAGAATTACAGGGAGAACAAACCAAAGGTTTGCGACAACATAGAGGGTGTAAAAATGTATTACCAAGCCAGGAAGGAAGGGGTTTAAAAAAATGTATTACCTACAAAGTTTTAAAATAAACGTTCTGTCATCCAACTGAGTCACATTTAGTAAATGTTAGTTTTAAGCTCATAAGTCATTAGAAAACTTAAAACTTTTCTACATTGTTAAATTGGTTGAAAACTATGAAAAAAACATTTTGGCTTTCATCTTCTAAATGTCTGAAACCTTAAGTAACGTACCTTTGTACTTTTGTGTTTACTTTCCCGGGTATGGTTTTTAAGAAAAAAAAAACAAGATGATAAGCATACATGGTGATAGTTCTTCTTTACACCTTTTTTTGGGTGCGCCAACATTTGGGCTCAAGTCTAAAAATAAATAATGAGAAATCATACTCGACCGCGTATTTGCAAACCACAACCAATATTACAAAACATTGTCGAACGCAAAACAAACACCAAACGTAAACACTCGACGGAGATTCCCACGTTAATGTTGCGAAATTCCGAGAATTTATTACGCAAAGTATACATTGTACTGACGCGCCTTTTATTTCTTCACTTTTGAGCTTCATGAAAACATACACAAAAGCTTTATTGAACAATCATGAATTTGAGTGAAATATTAAAGGTTTCTTTAAAGAAGTTTGTGGTAAATTAATTAAAATTCATTATATTCGATTATTAAAAGGGCATTATTATATACTCTCATCAATTTCGAGACAACTGAGTAATTTTCAAATTATTAGCCTTGCATTAATTTTTTATCTTTGATTAAAACAAACAGACATGCATCTATATGTTAATTTAATTATATTGTAATTATGTATATGTTTTGGACCTGTCTGTGAACATATATTATTCTGAAAATAAATAAATAAATTACCACATTAATTTTTGTTTTCAAAAATAATTCCACTCTCTCATTATAGGAATTTAATTCAAATATTTATAAAATAATAAATTCATTCTCACTTTTTTTTGTAAAACATTGTAAAAAGTGACCAGTGTATTTTTTAACTCTACTTACATATCCAATGCCAATAGGTAGGTACGTACAGTCACGGAATGAAAAGGTTCGTCAGTTTTCAAATTGATTCCTTCAACGAATCGCGAGCACATATTACCTTGTGAAACTATGTTACAGAATAATCTCGAGTTAGAAAAAATAATCTTTAACTGTTCGTCAGTAAAGTTCAAAATTATTCAGATCAAAGTTGTTTGACGATTTAACTTGTCAAGAAGATTATTATGATTGATAAACTAAAACCTTCTTGTTGGTTCAACCTGCCATTATCTATTAAATAAATAAAAAATACATTTTGTAGCATTGCACTGATGGGATAGAAAAATAAACAAGCAAAACCTTATTCGTTAGCAAACGTCATATTTATTTAAATGTTAGCAGCACTGTTTCTTGCACGGTTATGTTGGCAGGTTTGACTCTTACAGTACCTAGTGCAAGCGAAAACCGACACTAAGGTGACGAACCTTTTCATTCCGCGACTGTACATACGAGTATTACATTACGTTTTGAAAAAGTTTCCACCGCATTCGTCACATATTTATCTCATTTCCCCCAAAGGAAAACAAGTGAAATGAAATCTTCATCAGACATTCGTAAACCATACGTAGGCTGATAGATTATTCCAGAGATTGATCGTGCGGTAATTTCATTTAGAAAAGCCAATTTCCCTGATGTAGTTACAAACGAAACATCCAGCTAAACTATATGACACCTTATGTACTTGTAACAAGCGTGATATTGCAACAATGTCATATACGTTCTGTACGTTCGNAAACTAAAATGATCTGTCACGCTATATATTATATTGTATGTATATATAATCTTATGTTATATCATTTTGGTAGCGTTTGATTTCCCAAACGACCACCGGCACCGCGTGCCTTTCAATTTTTATCAAACATTACAGGTTTTATAACCATTTTGGTAGTGATTGGTTTTCCAAACCACCACCGGCACCGAGTGCGCTTCGATTTTCATCGAATCATCACTGGTTCTAGACCCATATTGTTTTCCTATTTAAGGCGTCACTAGACTATGTCAAACATAATTATCAAAACCAAAAGCATCCAAATTGGTGCAACCGTTCTCAATTTTTAGCAGGGAAAAATTAAATGAACAGCAATCTTATTTTTCCGTAATAATGTAATAATGTCAGTTCATCGTCCGGACGCGCGCTGCCGAGCAGACGTGTTTTTGGTTAAAAACATCTAATTCTATACTTAAATATCCCGATAAAGCAAAGTAAACTTTAAGTCCCAAATAATACAGTATATTTTACATCGCTAACGTGCCGTGTGCCGATAGTAGTCAACGAAAACCAGAACTGTGCTACATAGTATACGCAAAAAATCCCAATAAAATGATGCGATCACCGACAAGTGACTTGAAAACCTCTTCTAACCCGGACCTTACACTAGAGGGAGGGACACGCTATGTTACAGCACGAAAACGGAAGGAAAACCCTGATGCTGAAGACACAAGGATTTTACGTTCAGAAATGGTCATCGCAATGGGTAAGCTAAGTAATGAACAAAGCGATAAGTTTAAGAGACTAACAGACAGCATTGAAGAAGTGAAAGCGCAAAATGGGCAAATTCTACAATTAAATACAAACCTGCAAAAAAGCTTAGATCAACTTATGTGCATGTACCAAGACATGAAAACTACAGTGGACACCATAACAGTTGAACATAAAAAAGCTTTAGTCAAAATAAACTCACTGGAAGAACAAGTTGAAGAATTACAAAGACAACAAAGAACAGCAATGGTGGAGATAAACAACGTACCAATACTCGAGAATGAAAATCTAACAGGAATTGTCAACGAAATACATAAATCACTAAACATAGACACGAAAACCGATTTCCGCCAAATCTACAGAAATAAAACCAATAAAACAAAATCGATAATTGTGGAATACCAAAACGAATTGGACAAAAAACTGATACTAGATGCTTTTAAAAAACATAATAACAAAAATAATGACGCTAAACTTAGCACTGACATGCTTGGTATTAGGGGAGATAAAAAAAAACATATATATAAATGAATCATTATCGACTACTATGAAGAAACTGCACTATGAAGCTCGAGGGCTGGTCAAAAGCTATGGATACAAATTCTGCTGGATATCTAATGGACGTGTATTTGTAAGAAAAACAGAAAATGGTCCGGCAATTCACATAAAGTCCGGCGAGCAAATTGAGGAGCTTCAAAACGGTGCTAGTGGTCACAACAAATGACTATTTTGTAAGTTAAATGTGGGTAGCGAAGGCCTAACTACTACTTGCCTCACTCTTTTTATCATCTTAATTAGCCACATACAGGTTCTTCTATTATATGTATACTTTAATTATGTGATGTACAATGGGCTTACTAAACTTAATGATAAGATTTTAATATTATACACTAACAAACAAATCTACACACTGTCTCACTTCTGAGCTCACAAAACACAAAACACTTAGACGTTCTCACTCACACGCATCAACACACTACACCAACACAAAAAACTGCTTTGGAATGGCCACTAACTGTTACTCAAATCTTATCCGTAAGTTTAATATAAATCTTTACATTTTATTCGATAATGAAGGATTTAAGTAACATTATAACTGACATTGATAATAATGTCAATGTCGGTAGAGTGCAGTTGGTGGATGTACCAGAGCAGTGCAAAAACCACATTAGTTCGATTTCTTCCTTCAAAGTAGTCATTCAAAATATACGAAGCATTAATCGTAATTTGGAGGATTTTATTATTTTTCTTAATAGACTAGACATTGATGAAGACCTGATATTTTCTTACTGAATGTTGGTTATCGAAATGTAGCAACTTACCAAATTTAGAAAACTATCATAAATATGCGACTACTAAACTCATTAACCAAAACGACGGTATTGT